TCCATTGATGCCCCCCCGGTAGGGCGAGGCCTGAGCCCCCCTCCCCCCTCGGAGCAGCGATGGGAGCATCCGTGGGCTGAGCCCCCCCAGGTACTGCCGGGGGTCACACGGCGTGGGGAGCGCCGGGGGGGATCTGGCATGTACTGGGTCTGTTTTGGCCTGTACTGGGCCTTGCTGGGATGCAGTGGGATGTACTGGGCAGTGCTGGGGCTGTACTGGGATATACTGGGCTCTGCTGGGCTGGGCGGTGTCTGTAATGATCTCTGCTGAGATGTACTGGGCCATACTGGGCTGTGCTGGGCCATACTGGGATGTGCGGGGCCATGCAGGAATGTACTGCGTTGTGCTGGGATGTACTGGGCCATGGTGGGCTTCTACACGGATGTACTGGGTCATACTGGGATGTGCTGATCTTTACTTGGTGATGCTAGACCATACTGGTCTGGACTGGATCTGTTCTAGGGGGTGCTCTCCCATACTGGTCAACACTGGTCCATACTGGTCCATGCCAGGCTGTACTGGGTCATACTGGGACATGCTGGGAATTATTGGGTTGTGCTGGACCATTCTGGTGTGTGCTGGACTATGCTGGCTTATACTGGGCTATACTGGTCCTTACATTACAGGCCTGTACTGCTTGGTACTGGACCTTGCTAGGCTGTGTAACCTGGATTGTCTGTGTACTGGCGCTTACTGGGCAATACTGGGTCATACTGGGCTGTGCTGAGCCATATTAGCTTGGAATGGGTGCTGTGCTAGGCATACTGGGCTGTACTTGGCCATATTGGGGTGTGTGGAGCTGTACTGAGCCCTACTGGGCCGGACTGGGTTGTACTGTGCTGTGTACTGCTGGACTGCTCTTTACTGCTCCATACTGGTGGATGTAAACCTGTACTGGTCTATACTGGTCTGTACTGGTGAATATAGATCTATAGCAGTCTGTACTGATGTATATGCAATCTGTATTGGTCTGTACTCGTCCATTCTGGTTTGGACTGGTGTGCACTGTCCCCACAGACCCCGCGGCGACGCCCGGATAGGGCCAACATGGAGCCCTGAGAGGAGGTAATGAGATCACTGGGACCACTGGGATCTCCTGGGGTTTTGTGGTGTGGTATGGGATCTCATGGGACAAACAGGATCTGATGTGACCTGACAGGATCTCATGGGATCTTTTGGGACAAATGGGATTGTGGGATCCCACAACATTCAGTGGATCCCAGGTGGTGAGATGGGTTCTGAGGAGATCTGATGGGATCTGGTAGGGTCTGATAGCATCCAATGGGATATGACGGCTTCTGACAGGATCCTGTGGGGCCTGGTGGGATCTGCTGGGATTTACCAGGCTCCACCACACTCCGTGACTCCTGTCCCCCCATTGCAGGCACAGCCGTGGGGATGGCGAAGCTGCTGGTGCCGCTGGTGGTGCTGGGCGCCGTGTCCGGGGCGGGGGTCCCGGTGTCACCGCCGTCCCCTCGCTGTCCCCCGCGCTGCCTTTGCCCCGCGGCCGCTCCCAGCCCGACGCTGCTGTGCGCCCGCACGGGGCTGCTGGCGGTGCCGCCCAGCCTGGACCGCGGCGCCGTGGAGCTCCGCCTCGCCGATAATTTCATCGGCGCCGTGGGTCGCTCCGATTTCGCCAACATGAGCAGCCTGGTGCACCTGACGCTGTCGCGGAACGGGCTGCGCCGCCTCGCCCCCGGCGCTTTCGCCGATCTCCGCGCCCTGCGAGCTCTACACCTCGATGGCAACCGTTTACCGGCGCTGAGCGGCCCGCAGCTCCGCGGGTTGGCTAGTTTGCGCCACCTCATCCTAGCCAACAACCAGCTGGCTGCCATCGACGCCGCCGCCTTTGCCGCCTTCGCTGCCACTGTGGAGGACCTGGACCTGTCGCACAACAACCTGCCGGCGCTGCCCTGGGACGCCGTGGCCGCCATGGGCAGTTTGGCCACGCTGACGCTTGACCACAACCTGCTGGAGCGGGTTCCGGCCGGCGCCGTGGCGCGGTTGCCACGCCTGGCCAGGCTGGACCTCACCGCCAACCGGCTGCGGGCGCTTCCACCGGTGCCGGGGCCACCTGGGCCAGCACTAGCGGCCGGTGGCAACCCCCTTCACTGCAACTGCGAATTGCTGTGGCTGCGTCGCGTGGCTCAGGCGGGCCGCCTGGAGACGTGTGCCACGCCAGCACCGCTGGCCGGGCGGCTTTTGGGCGCCGTGCCCGAGGAGGAGCTGACCTGCCGGGCCCCCGCTGTCACCGCGGCGGCCGCGCACCCGCCCTCAGTCACCGAGGGGCAGCCGCTGCGCTTGGGCTGCGCCGCCGTCGGGGACCCTCCGCCCGCTCTGCACTGGTTGGGCCCCGACGGCCGCGTGGTTCAGAACGGTTCCCGGCGCTCCGTGGGTTCTGACGGCTCCTTGGAGCTCCGTGTGGCCACGTTGAGGGACCACGGCGGCTTCACCTGCGTGGCCGCCAACGCCGCGGGCGAGGCGGCTGCACGTGTCGACGTCGTGGTAGTGCCGCTGCCGGTGCCACGGGGACGGGACGGGGATGGTGATGCCGCGGCCGCAGAGGCGGGGCCCGGCCCCTCGGATATGGCCCAGGCGGGCGGCAATGACACCTGGGGGGGGGCCGGGGAGCGGCGGGTGGTGGCAGCGGAGGTGACCGGGTCCTCGGCGCGCATCCGGTGGCTGCCACAGCGCCACTTGCCCGGCGTGCGCATGGTGCAGATCCAGTACAACAGCTCGGCCGACGACGCCCTCGTCTACAGGTGGGGGCTGAGGGGTATCGCCGGGGGGTTGGGGGGCCTGGGAGAATCGTGGGAAGGCTAGGGGGGAGGTTCCAGTGGGTGTTGGGGTGTCCTGTGGGCCTTTGGGGCAGTCTGGGTGCCTCCGGGGGGAGCTCAAGTGGGTTTTGAGGGGTCCGGTGGGGCTCCGGGGGGTCTCGGAAGGGTCCATAGGTCCTGAAAGGCTCCAATGGCAGTGTTCAGGGGGGTATTGGGGGGGTCCTGCAGTAGCTCTGAGGGGATGTGGGTGATATCGAGGGAATTCTGGGTATCCGGGGTGGGGATTGAGGATGCCTTTGGGCGATCCTGGGGGTCTGTGAAGTGTCTTTGAAAGGTTCTGGGTGGGAATTCGGCTTCCTGCAGGGTGGGGTAAGGGGGGTGCCGAGGTCTCGCTCCCTCCCCGACTCCTCCTCGCCCCCTCCCCAGGTTGTTGCCCCCCTCCAGCCGCACTTTCGTCCTCCGGGATTTGGCTCCGGGCCGCCTTTACGAGCTCTGCGTGTCCGCGCTGCGCGTGCTCGGGGACCCCCCCGCCGCCCCCCGCCCGCTCGGCTGCGTCTCCTTCGCCACGGCCGCCGCCCCCCCGGGCTGCGCCGCGCCCCCCCGGCCCCACTTCTTGGGGGGCACCGTCATCATCGTCATCGGCGCCGCCATCGCCGCCTCCGTGCTCGTCTTCATCCTCATCCTCACGGCGCGTTGGAAGGCCGCGGGGGCGCGGCGCCCCCCGCCCGCGCTCACCAGCGTTTGCTCCCAGACCAACGGTGGTGCACGGCCCGCCGAGACCCCCGAGCTGCCCCCGCTACCCCCGCTGCCCCCGCCCGCGGCCGGGGGGGGTCCCACGGCGGGCGGGGCGCGGGGGTTGTTTCCCAGCCACAGCTACCCCCGGCGGGCGCGGCCCCGGCGCCACGGGTCCCTTCCGCGGCTGGACGCGCCCGAAGGGACCCCCCTGGGACCCCCCCTGCGTCCCTCATTCGGCAGCACCCACTGGATGCTGGAGAGTACCGTGTGAGGGGGGGGGATGGCGGGGATACCCCCTCCGACTACCCCCGGGACTCTCCCTTCGGCGAGTCCCCCGGGCGACCAAACGCAGCTCCGGCGGCTCCTGTTGGGGGGCGTACTGGGAGCGCCAAAGCTCTCCCGGGTGCCCCCCGAACACATTTGGGATCCCCCATGGGTGCCACCAGGTGCCATTGGGAACCCCGAGGTATCCCCTCCACCCCCCCGCCCTGGCGGACCTGTATGCAAACCTTTCTCCCCGAAAAACCCGCGTGGCGACCCCCGACATGTGCGGGCACCACGAAACGCGTGGGGACCGCGACAGGGACCACCCTCCTCCGACACGGACTCAAGTGCGCTCGGACACGCGCGTTGCGTGTCCGGAAACTTGTGCCCGCCCCCCGCCCCTCCCCGCGCCCCCAAAAGCAGGACACTCGCCCGGGACTTGCGTGTACCCCCCCCCACGCGCGTTCCCCCGCCAACCCGAGATGCGCACTTGGGACTTGTGTGTGCGCCCTAACATTTGTGTGCCCTCCCGCCCCACGCGCGTACCCGGCCCGCCCCTCCCGCGGTGCCTTCGGCCGGGCCGGGGGGGCCCCGCGCACGCCCCCAACATCTCTGCACAGATGACACGAGACTCGCAGCCCCCCTCCTCAAGAAAATCCCTTCGTGGGGAGGAGGGAAAAGAGGGGGCCTCCGGATGCCTGGGGACCCTCCCGTGTGTCCTTTCCGGAATGGCCTCTGCCCCCTTCCCCAAGTCGGCCTGGGGGTTCCTATCTGGCTGGTCTGGATAACCCTGGGGAGGCCCTCCCAGCCCCTCC